TAGGCCCGATTTCGAGAAAGCGGACTGGCGTGACATTGAGATTTGGAAAGCGGTGCGCGAAAAAGAGAAACAAGAAAAGGGAGAGAAAGAAACTAACTGGAAAGAGGAAGAGCATTACCTTCCTTCCAGGTTTCGCAGAGAATAGGCCGTCTGCTCGGTGCTTGTATATCAAAATGTGCTGTAGTAATAATGTCCACAAACGGTTAACTTTCATGTGTTAGCAGTGGCGCATTGTCTCCGGTCAAGAAAGAACTGTGTGATTTTGGTAATCCTGCCACTTTTACCGTTGAATTTGGCGTTTTGGGGATCGGTCGCTTTTTTTTCCGGTGTAATTTTCCACATTTCAGTTAAGTGGAATGCCGTTTTTGTTAAATTCCAGCTCTTATCCGCACGCTTAATTCGATCTGTGTTTACAGCTAAGGGATGAAACATAGACTGAATCGTAAAATGCCTTTTATATGACACCTACGTCCAGTTCTTTTAATCTATTAAATTTTGGCAAAATTTTGCCCCCATCTGGCTCTTTCAATTTACTGTTCTAAATCGTTAACTCCCTTCAGTCTAAGTTTTGCAAAATTTTTAAAGATGCAAATAGTAAATATTCCTGGCAAGGAGACTGGAAGAGAACGTGGGCCTAAAATCTTCTATGTGTTAACATATGCAGTTTGTTTGGCGTTATTGGCCCACCCTGGGGAGGAACACAATCGAATTTTGATAGCTGATGAAAAATTGGAAGTGGCATTTAGATCAACCAAAATTTAGCTTTGTCTGATGCGTCTGTCTTCATTTTACATGGGCAGTTTTGTGCGCCATTGCTTCGCATCGAGTTTTTCGTCTTCATTGCATAAACAGTCAGATAACCTATCCCGTGTTGCTGGTTTTTTTCGCCAAATGTTGCAGAAAAATAAATCAAATATGCGCCGCTGTCTGCTCCTCTCTGCACATTCTTAATAAGAATTAGCTATTCGATCGCGATGGGTCCAGGGGGGGCGCAGCTTTGTTGCCATTCAGATTGCAGCATCTGGAAATTTGGCACTTTCACGCCAGAGGAAGCAGTACGAAAGGATGTAAATGATTGGTAAGAAGATGCACTGAAGGATATTTTTTCGAAAAAAGTGTGGGGCAGAAGCGAGAGTGGCTGGAAGTGTATGTTCGCATCGGTTATTAATGAGCCGGGCACCTCCGGACGACCGGATCCAGGCTTCATCGCACACATGTTTGTAGTACGATAGTGCTCTGCCAGTGTAACAGCTCCAAGTAGACATCATTTGTTATGTGAAATATCAGCCTTAACTGCATGCATCTTCCTGCATTTCTGTTTGTTTCCCTTTTCACTCTGTCAACATGCCGCGCCAGAAAATGGAAGTGGGCGATTAGAGCAAAATCACAAAACACCTCGAATTTGGCTCTTTTTCTCCAGGGACATAAACTCCAAATAAAGACTTAGGTTTGACTCATTTTTACGCGTTTTACCGTGCAGTGCTAGTGCGCTGCAACGGGCAGCAACCCAGATAGAAACGCACCAAGCCTGCCGGCACGATCATGCGTTTTTGCACCAGACTTGAAGTACTCTGGTCATTAAATGCATAAATGGTTGTAGCTTCACATCTAACTTTTTCACCCACCAGCGTAAATCACCATAAATTTTGCACAAAGAAAATAAAAAATTTCCATTTGACAATTTCATT